GGGGCATGCTGGCTTCATGCCGACAGCTCGGCCTGCCGCGTCTGCGTGCCCGCTTTGAAGTGTCACCTTGAGGGAAGAGCCGATGGCCGGGAAGCCAGGAGGGCGGGAGCGGCAGAGAGGAGTGGCATGCTTGGCATCGCCAGACACGCCGCTTTAATATTGCATGGGCTCCCGTCCATCTCTCTGCACACTTAGGACATTCCTTCTGCTTGATTTAGTTTGAAAGTAAATCTTTGTTGTTGGGATTTTTTTTTTTCCACCTCCAGCCCCTCCTCTCGCCATGGAGCAGCTCAACACCTGTGCTGGTTTTGTGCTCATTCTTGCCTGAACAAATGTCAAGCTCTGCAGTCAGAGGAACTTTAGCAAGCAGCTGCATTATGGCAGCTGACAGTGTTGCCTTGGGCCTGGCACATGGCGACTTACGCCAAGAACATAAAATGTTCTTCCCTCCAGTGCAGGTCTGCGTTCAGATATAAAAGTAGCAAACGTTGAAAAGCCTCCTCCCCCAAACTGTGGCTGCTTTAAGCCACATCAAAAAGATATAATAATTATCTCATTAAACAAAGTTGCTAGAAACACAGATTGCCCTAATATTCAATTTGCCCCCCCCCCAAAAAAACAGAGGACAATAATTGGCCAATTCAAAATCTGCAATTGCTCAAATGGCAATAAAATGACATTGATGAAACTTCAAATTGTGTCTTTCCGTTTACAGCTGTGCGTTTTGCTGGCAACGTCGTGAGAGAATCGAACACGGCGGTCGCTTGAGGAAGTGCACGAGTTTATCAGTACAGTCTGTTGACATTATTGAAGTGAGGAAAGAGCATATTAAACCCCTCGCCCCCCCAAAAAAAATCTCACGACATCCACATTCGGCCCAGTTCACAAATAGCAGTTTTAACTCCCTGATTAGCACCGACATCTGCAGCCTTTCATCTCTCCCTCCATCTTGTTTTTTTGTAATCAGATTAACCCAAACGGGCATCCTTTAATGGCCGTCCTTTTTTTTTTTTTTAAGGAAAGCTGAAAGAGGAGCGATAATTAAAATAATTAAACCGCTGGGACCAGACTGTGCATGCGAGTCTCCGGTTTCTTTCTTTTCTTCTCCCTTTAACTTTGAATTCTGCCTGGCTTGCTTACTCAAGAGAGAGGCAAGCTCATCATCTTCACTTAAATGCATTCAGTTGACTCTCGGAGGTCCAATTGTTTATTTTTTTTTTTTGCTCCCCCTCCAATGCCAATGACCAATGTAGGACCTGATCTTAGAAGTTCAGGGCCGTCACATCAAAATGGAAATGGAGGGGGGTAGGGCATACAGTATTTCTAAACAGCATTTATACGGCAGACATATAGATCTATTTTTTTTTCCAGTCTGCATGTTTTATATGAGCCTGAAGATTAAAAATGGGAGAAAGTATGCTTTGCTCTAATGATTATTTATTCATGAACTTTTAAGCTTTTAATGAGGACAAATGAAGCCGTTTTTCCAGCGTGTCAGTATGTAGTATGGTTACCACAAATATTCTTGTTGAGCATTTTCTTTTGCGCTGGCTGTCCGTAAGGAATAAACACTCACATTTCAAATCCACAGCAACTTGCATTTGAGAGGAGATCAGTTGATCTCAGGCTCACATTTGTATCAAACCCTATACAACTTTTCACGAGATGATTCTGATGATTTATTCATTGTCACTGAAACTTGTAACCAAAGCTAAAATGTGATATTTTTAATGGTTGACCACTGCATGAATTTAGTCACGGCCACAGCAAAAATATTCAAATTTCTTCCGAACTTTGAGAAACAGAACAACTTCATTGATCAATAACCTCCTGAACTTAACAAGTACAGTAGACTCTGCGTCATATTAATTATTGAAACATAGTGTACGTAGCTCATTATTATTCATCGGTGAAATGCATTTGTAACTTCTACACGATGAGTAAAAATAGTAGGTTACATAGTGACGCCTGATTTATATTTTCCACCATAGGTGTACATACAGAATATTCAATATTATAATCACACATCTTCAGATGAATTCAAAACTTTCTGTCAAAAAGAATCTAATGAATTCTTGCATGAGGGTTTTACCAAGAGCACGAGCACAGACGCCTTCCATGTAGCGCCGTTCCAACTTTACACAAGTTGGATGTCTTTTTCAACACCTCATATTCTGTATTTTCATTTCATTCAGATCATTTTCACAGGGCTTCATTTCAAGTTGGCATACACTAAAAAGTAAAAAAATCCCTTTGCTGGAAGTACTTAAGATTTATATTTAAATTTTCATGGAATCTTTGAGAACATTGAGGAGCAATTTCACATTTGCACTGACATCTAATTTCTCAAGTAGTGCCTGAAAGCACAAATTGCCACGGATTCCCTATGTGCCCAATTATCCTGCATCAATTTTCTTGACCTGGTGGAATGCTGGTAAATTAATCATAGCACTTTTTTGGACTCTCATAAAACACATATGCAGGCGTTTGATAAAGTAATCATACTTGGTTATGCAAAAAAAAAAAAAAAGTATATTTCATCTCAACAGCAGAACGAGTGTACCATCGAGGCCTAATTGGGATTCTGGGGCTGAAAAAAGGAAAGGGAGAAAAAAAAAACAATATAATTTAATTCAAGATTTCTTCTTTAAATATAGCTGCTTTTTAAAAATTGTTTTTTCCCCTGACCCATTACTGATGTCTGACCATTATTTCGTACACAATGAAGAGGTCAGGGGGGTATACATTAACTTCTTATAAATAAAATTAATAATGCCGTTGAGTATTCGGTTTACTATAATTCACGCTCTGCGGAGTTCTCAAATGATCAACAATTACGTGCTTCACATCATACCGTACTTACCTGACCCAACCTGCTGATCCCATGAACACTGTCCAAGATTTGGCGTCAGTTATTGAAGCGACAGTGCCCTCTGCTGGAAATAAAGAATCCAACAAGCATCAACGTGGATAGGCAAAACCACTTGGAATGCCACAAGTAATTTCCTCTCAAAAAGGAAACGGTCAGTGAAAGACACTGCATACCAAAAGCAAGGTTTGAGTGTGGAATGTTGCAAATGTGTTCACATTAACAGACATTGAAATGAATTGGTAACTACGCAGGGCTTTGTTGATAAAAGACACTGGAGGGAATACGTTTTCTTCCAAATATATGTAGGTTTATTGACATTTTAAAGAATTTAGATTTTATACGTTTTTGTTTTTTTTAAACACGGACGTGCGTAAAATTAAGTATATGCATCGCAAATGGATTAGCATTGCTTAGCATACAGGCTGCAAGGCTAATTAATAGCCTACATTTTGCCACGGACATGGCACAGAAAATATCTACCAAGAAAAATTCATCCAACGCCATAAACATAATTAGCAAAACAACCTAAATCATCCATATCCCTCCCCATCATTTTTAAGTGCTCGCAAAATACACGAAAAAGGTCTTTTGGGCCTGCCAAAACAAATGAGGTCGCAAACCAATTTTTCAAGTTCGAGAAAGTTAAGTGAGGAAAAGCCCAACATGTACTAATGTTCAAAACGCTACACAGATATTTTATTCCACAACTTTACTGTTTCGGTCCACAGGTCCGACCCGATTCTCAGTTATTGGTCAGCAGTTCTCAAACGTTTAATATTTTAAGTCGCTGTAACATTATGCTGTTTAAACTTTGTATTTCTTTAACTAATGAAATTACAAGTCAATTAAAATGAATTGGATTGTACCGAAATACACTTTTTTTCATCCTCTTAAACATGAACACAAATTGAATGCTACCTTTGCAATGAGTCTTTTGCGTACCAGTACAGAGGGAGTCTACAATAGTACCTGTACTACACCAGAGAATAGTTGCTATTTAGGCATTTCTGCTTGTCAAAAAATAACACAAAACCTACCAGCGCTTGACGACGATTATAGGGGGCATCAAAATCCAACTAGACATTTTATTTTCCATTTGAGTGACACATCAAACACAAGCGTTTAGCACACTTGCTTCACACTTCTGAGGTTGCGGGTTCAGATCTCAGCTCCGGCCGTCATGAGTACAGCTTGCAGATTCTTCCAATGCTTGTGTGTGTGTTTTCTCGTACAGCTTGCAGATTCTTCCAATGCTTGTGTGTGTTTTCTCGGGTATTCTGGCTTCCTTCCAAAAACATGGCATGCCGTTTAATTTGAGACTAATTGTCCACAGGTGTGAATGTGAATGATTTGTTGGTCTCTCTATGTGCACTGTGATTGGCTGGTGACCAGAAGTCAGCAGGGATTGTACGGATGCCTTACGAAAACGGCAGAACTGAAAAATAGTGTACGCTACACATTTGAGGGGCAACGAGACAAAACACTATTGTAGTGCAAAACATTGAAGACGACCTTTATTGTTCACAGTTAAACACAAGCCACTGCTTTAAGAACTTCCTTTTTTGCCATGTCATCCATTCAAGAGTCCCCGTCTCTTCAGTTTGTGCAGATTGTACCTTCCGCCTTAGGTTGCTGTAATTACTACGGTTGGCATTTAAAGTGGATCAGTGAACATGCTGTAGATAGCGTTGCAGAAGGACATGACAGCAGGAGATCCTTGTGGACAACAGGATTTAGAGAGAAGACAAGAAAGTCATCGACTGTTGGTGCAGCAGTGAAAGAAAGCGTTTGGATGCCGAGGTGTGGGCATCCCCGACAAAGTGCAAACAAACATACTCCTTCAGACAGATTTTGATCAGTAACCTTGGAATTACGAATGGGAATGTGACTTCATAATTACCAACAATGATATGGTCTGGGTTTGTCAGTGAAAGAAAATAATGATCCTTGTTTTGCTTTAAATAACTGATCTTGGGAAGGGGGTGGGGGGCTATCCTTTGTTCAGTCAAGAAAATTTGAAATGTTTGTGTCATCTGTTTGCATTGTGAACACTAGAACCCACAAGATCATGGTGTAGGTCAGGGCCAGAGATGCTTTGTTTGAATGTAACAAAATGGAAAGATAAAAACATTTTGGAATCGTCACTGAACTGACCATTTAAAAAGTGCCCGAATCTCCAAGTGGAAGTTAAATCTTCTGATCACGTTCTACTTGTGTTATCTAAGAACATCTTGGGCATAACCGAATTCAGGATGAACTGCTATTTAAAAAAAAAAAAGGTGGTGGTAGGGGGTGGGGGGCTAGATCCTGTTGTCCACTCAGAGGAATGGCGCAAATAATACTGACTTTCAAAGAGTTACTGACGTATGACTCTTTGACTGATTTGTAAATCCTCTCAAACTTTAGCTTTGGACGTTGCGGCTCAGTTGTGTCCTTAACTGTGCTCATGATGCGTTTCATTGTAGTCCATGATCTTGAGCTGTTGCTGCCGGGGCCGTGCAGTTCCCAACGGGACCCGCCCTATCCTCCTCCGGGGGCTTTCCTGACTGGGGGCCTGCTGTCTGGGCTCCAGGGATTTCTTGGCGGGTGCATGGAGAGGAGCAGCCAAGGATGGAGTCGGAGTCAGGATGGTTGGAGTGGGAGGGGACGCGAGGCCGAGGTGGGCGACGGAACCCGGGCACGGCGGCTCCCCGCACGGCTCAGTCTTCAGACTGTGGGCAAGGCCGGCATGCTGTGGCGGCTGCAGATGCTCGTCCTCCTCGTCCTCGTCGCAGCACTGACTCTCGCTTTTGTTGCGAAAGAGCTCGCGTGCCCTCATGCCAAGGAAGCTCTTGGCACTGGGGTAGGAGCCCACGGTAAGGGGTGCGTCAGATGGTGTCAGAGTGGCAAGCCGGTTGGTGCGGGGGCAGGACAGGGGGAGGTCCACCATGAGGGACGGGCCTGATTCCTTGCTGCCGTTGACCGAGTTGGCAGTGGTCTTGGAAGTTTTGCTTGCCTTGAGTTGCCCTGGTAATAAAGTGCTGCCGTTGCCGCAATGCGAGTCATGTGGTGCTCTGCTGTCCCTCTCTTCATTGGTGCAAGTTTGACTTGGTCCATCGGGCACCAGGATGCTGCTAGGGAGAAAAATAGACATTCAACTACAGAATTTGGAACATTTTGTAAAAAGAATCAAAGTCATGGTTTCGAGTTAAAATACCAACATTAGTGCTGTCAAGAGATTAAAAAAGGGGAGATTAATTAATCATGATCTGTAATTAATTGATCTAATTAATCTATATTTTAATCTCATCTAAAACTTGCTGAGAAAACCCCTATTTTCGTTTTAAATTCATTACATTATTGAGCATTGAGGCAGATCAAAAGATTTGCATCACAAAAAGTGGTATGATAAAGTATTTTATTGTTTTTAAACAGACTTGAACAGATGCAGTCCAAGCCATTTACTTTCTGCTGTATTTGAGACTAATCCCAAATCCTACCTGCAACCTTTAGTTTGGACCACCAGGGGGAATATCATTGTTTTGTTTTTGTAAATCTCCAAATAAATTACAAAAAAATAAAAGAGAACACCAGGTCCATAAAAAGTGCTTAGGTTAACATATCAAAAACAGTAAGAACACTTTTCTGAGCAATACAAGAACTGAACACGGAACTTGCTTCAGATAATAAAACAGACCCTTAAAGCACAGTGGTGCAAGTTAGCACTTCAGAAATAACACTGTTCATCATGACAAAATAAAGTGCTGAAATAAACGTCAACCACTTCTAATAGGCTACAGAGGACACAGCAGCTATGCTGACTTCATGCCTCGTACGCGAGGTGTTCTCCGTGAGTTTAGTTTGGTGAAGAGCTTTGCTATGGCTCCCTCTATAGAGGGCTCCGTCCTTTTTCAAATATCCCCCAAGCACT